TGCCAGTGCAGACTACTTATCACATGCCTCTGTATGACTAACCATCCTGTGTGATGGGAATTTTTAGCACTACGCAGCTAGCTTTTTGACACACTGTACTCCACTTCATATATTTATGTCTAGGGTAGCTACACAAATACAGATGTATCTAAATGTGTTTAAAAGAATCCGGTGTAAGGTAAGGCGGTTGGCAACCTGTGTGTGTTCCCAGTCCTGCTAGTCGACTCATCTGTGCCTTGGGAGTGACTGAGGGTATGAGACGTCTCTGGAGCACTAGTCGTCGCCAGAGCCAAAGAAGACGACAACTTTGATCATGGAAGGCACAAGTCCACCTTGGGACTCGTAACAACAGCAAACTTCCTCAGCAGGACAAAACGGGGACCGTGTTGGTTGTGGTCTCAATAGCTGGATGTGATATTTAGCTAATAACTACTAGTAGTCAGTTCTGTGGCACTGACAACGGCTTGTAGCGAGTATTGTGACACTGACAACGGCTTGTAGCGAGTACTGTGGCAGTGACAAGGTCCTGCAGGAGAGTTGTGTCCGACAGCTCCTTGCAGGCGAGTACTGTGGCCCCACAATTGCTCTTACAAGGCAATACAACACTGAACGAAGAATATAAGAAGATAATTCATGGTGCAGGGATGACTGTTGACGTGGCGAAGAACTGGTATCACCACTATTTACCCGTCTCGCCTTGTAGCCTCGCCGTCTAGCGGGGGAGACCATAATTACATTAAAAATAACTATTTAAAACGGCATGTCGGGAACGCTGTGTTTCTTGGCCTTAATCCCAATAAAACTCCATCAGATGTTTATTGGTAGCACCAGTCGATTTGTAAACTATTATGTTGTTGGTTTGGTGTAGGGCTGAAGGGTTTGGGCTGAATCAACCTCTGGAGGGTTGTACACTTGTCAATTTCATTTAGAATTTTTAGCGATTTATTTTTTTTAGGTGTTAAGGTTGAAACATGTGTCTCTGCTCGATATTGACGTGTCTAATGCCAGCTGATTTGTGGTAATGTTGATACGAATAATGGCAATAATCATAAGTGGCTCACGTGATGGAAGGGGTTGGTCGTTGATGGAAGGGACGGGACGGGGTCACATGATAAATAGGGCTGGACGGGTGGGTGAGATGGTGAGGGAGGATAGGACCGAAGCTTCTGCGTGATAACAAAAGTAACATTATATCAGTTGAGCATAAGAACATATACGCAGTGGATCTAGTGATGTTGTTGCGAGTCAACTCATATTAATATGTTTGAGTTGCACGAGATATGCACAGACGAAAAAGAGGAGCACCATTACCACACTGGCAGATAACATCATGACGCCTACATACCCACCAAGACACTAACAAACGCATCCCTCATACAGTTCTCAGTTTACTGCTAAATTAAGTACCCTAGAACACACACACGATTTACAAACTGAAAAAAATATCATACAGACTATATACACGGAGGGATCTTTCACATTCAGTTTCAGGGAGGGAGGTGCTGTCATTGTTCAGTAGCCCGACGGCAACACAAGTGAAAGGACTATAAGAGTTAGTAATTAGGCATCCACCTTACAAGTTGAACTGCTGGCTATTCTTGTAGTACTCAACATTATTGAAAACTGTAGTACACAACTTAATTATCTCTGACTCCCTCGTCCTATTAAAATAGATGAAATATTGCGATAAATGACTCTGCTTGCAATAAAATTGTAACGTGCTTGTCTCTGAAGTTAGGCATAGATGTGTGTGCATACTAACCATTGGAGTCGGTGAGGGTGTTGTGGTGGATCCCCTCTCACATTAGGCTACCGTGAAAATGAAAATGTTGACCCCCTTGCTAAGCTTGTAGTAAATAAGGAAAATGTTGTTGTCGATAATCTTAGGCTATTAGATAAAACTAAAGGGTGCCATTAGATGAGAACAATTAGGTGAATTTGAAGAAATCAGAAGAGTGCAAACAGAAACTAGTAGATCCATTATCACCGTGAAATGTCAACCAACACATTTGTATGGGGCAAAGTCAGTAGACAGCTCGATTAAAATTTGGCTACAAGTATATGTGGCAGTTCAGCTTGTATGGGGAGTGAAGAAGTAGTGTGGACTATGGGACATACACTAGGCACAGCGTCCTTATTACTGGTCCTCTACACTCTTAGTATTACAAAAATTGACCCTCTTGTATCATAACCTGTACACTGCCTCAACTTATGGCCATCCTACATATTGCAAAAATGCCTCCCAGGAGGCCGTGGCCCAAAAGTTTCGGAACCAGTGCACTAGAACATTACATTTTACACTGTAAAATTTAGTCATTTAGAGAAAAACTGAACTTGCATGAAAATGACAAATCATTTTATTGTAAATGATAATATATCCGAAATGCTTGCACTGTATCCATTCTAATGGATAAATCATATATACTTTTACTGTCTGGGTTGAGTAGCTTAATGTGTAAAAACAAGAACTACGAAAACGCATGTTGAAAACTGTTATCATTAACAAAGTCCTACCTCCAAGGTATGATACAAACATTGTGTTAACACAGAACATACAGTACAAGTTGCAGTGAGAGATGTCTGTTAGTCACTTTAGTTATAAGCTGTGCACATTAATGACGTAAAAGCTTCCGCTCGGGGTCTGTTTAAGACCTTTTGTGTCCTCTTTAATCCTTATTGCGCTACCGCTCACAGAATGAATATAGGGCGCACGATAAACTAGCAGCCTCCGGAGGTAAACCACGTGAGGGGAAATGGAGGCAAGATATGGGTCAAGCTGCAACCATTCACAATAGACGAACGGACCTGCACGGGAATCATTCATCATTGATTATGTCCGCATTAAAGCCGGTGGCGACCACTTTATTGAGGGTTCAGTCCTCGTTACAGAGAATTGGCATGAACATTTCGTGATGCGCGGTTTTTTAAGGGGGACGGTGACGTTCGTATACTACAATCATATTTCCCCCTACTTAAGACGAAGCTGCTTTGGCAATGGCAGGTGGATAGTTAACCTGAGACATACGCTCCTACTTCACCTCTTGCACACCTCACACGACCTTTCGTAAATACCTCACTGCTGTCTTCGACAATTTTTTTATTACAAATGCTCGTGTAGTAAATTGATATCGTTATTGTTCATAGGTTATGCGGCCTTATCTTCCCTAACAGGCGCTAACTAGTAATGAGAGTCGAGGCCAGATAGCAACTATGTACACAAGTGAACAGGCATCCACTGAAGGTCCATTGGGATAGTTTAGTGTGACGGGTCGCGCTCAAGTATTATGATATAATGATGGTGGTGGCGGCATTCTTGTGCTAGTGGGGAGCGGGCGGAGGGCCAACTTCAAGGGCGGGGGGCTTGGTATAGTGGCGAGGATTCAGTGTTTGTGGCACGCCAGTGTGTGCCACTACCACTCTCACTGTCGCCACCACCATCACTGCCGCCACCACCACCACTGCCGCCACCACCACAGCAAGCAGCTACCAACTCATCCCGCCAGCTGCTTCTTGAGCTCTCCAGGTGCCCTGAGTGTTGCTACCGCAGCTTTAGTGTCGTTTTGCCTGTTGCACGGTGCTGCTTAATGCCGGCAACACCTTGGTTCACTTGTGTACTGACTCTTCACATACACTGCTTCTTCCTGTGTGTAGCCAAAGAGAAATTGTAAAGCGCCTGCTGGTGTAGTGAAGCTGCTCGTGCTCTTCTCAAACAAGATGACGTGAGGATGTAGTGGCCGCTCCGTCGTGTAAGACATCGCTCCCACACCCCCGTCACGAATATACAAGTCCCTCGGGTTCCTGGCGAAGCAGTCTTAGGAGTGCGCTTGACTAACTGTTCCATCTCCCCCATGTTCACCAGAACACTGGCGGTAGATAGCCAGGCCAGTATGCGGAGCAACAGCAGCTGGGGTGGGCGGAATGGTGAAGAATTGACTTCTAGCCTAGGCCGCGACTGGCTGCCGCTATGTTCTCCATCGTCGCCACCGTCCTTCCTATTGTACGTGGCTCTACACTCTAGTTTCTCTTACTGAATAACTTTTCAAAGTTTCTCAGCGACCAAGTGTCCACATACTGGGAGTTTGATTAGTGCAGCATATTATTATTCTTGGCAGTTCTAATTCTGCTATTACCTTGGATTAATTTTAGACAATTATCTTATCTGTATAGTCATTTTTATCTGGATTTTTCCCTTAATTTTATAATTGACAATGATAGTTCAAGCCAGTTTCATGCATGACGTGTGATTCACTTAGCTGGGTAAGCCAAGGCCAGCTGCATACAGCACCTGTGATTCTTGGCCGGGTAAGCCAAGGCCAGCTGCATATGTTTAAACTACATTAATGCAATGCTTCCGTTTGTCTAGTGATGTGTTATTTCGCCGCCCATGAAATTTTGCGTAGTTTTGCACCAAGGCTGTGAGTACACACACATACTGGTGTGTACGCGTGTCTGTGGGTACATGAATTTCCTTACATTCCTTACAGTATTTTAGATTAGTGTACTTGAAAGGCGTTCTTAAAGGCTTTTTTTTCATTACATGGATGCCAGCCATATTTGCTAATGTTTACTGGACTGGTGATCCCTAGTGTTGGCTGCGCTGCAAGATATTGGTTAGTGTTGTAGGATATAGAACAAAGCGAAGTGTAATTAACATGTCACGCGCCTGCGTGAACCTGCACATCATGATTTGATAGTAAAACGAGATACTTGTCACAAAACCTCAGTATACCTAGCTTTCATATCGTGTTTTGTTTCTAAAAGCTACAAATGACTAGTTTTACTTTAGTGAGTGTTGAAGGTGGCCCTAACCACAATGTACCTTACAAAGACTGCATGAGAGAGGGGACACGGCTTCCTAGCGAGTTGTCTGTCTGACAAATCAGTGTGAGGACCCTTCTGTGCTGCTTCTGTCTGTGTCATGTCCACCCTCACTTTCCCTGTGTTTCCTGACCTGGAGCACCGCAGTTTCATGGTTGTGTGTTCGTCTGTTTTGTCCCCAGCTGTCCGCTATCGAGGCCGACGGAGAGAGAGCCCGCAGCACTTCGCTCGACCCGTCAAGGGTAAGGCAGTACGGTGAATGATTGTTGTGATGCAACATTTGAGGTACGCAATGTTGTGTGTCGAGTTACTTCTGGATTTTCCTCCATGATTCCTCCCTGTACCACGTGTTGATTGGATAATAAATGTGGTGGCGGCATCTTGGTCCTTTCCCTGTGATGTTAGTGAGAGCGGAGAGTCCTTAACATTGTCTTAACAGAAACATTGTCTTAACAGAAGTGCATGGTTCTAACACTGGGTCTAGGGAGGAAGTGATGCGCGTACTCATATATATACGTTTATATCATTGGCCTGGATAAAATTTATATTATCAATAATTTTAACAAAAATAAATGAATTTTGAATATTTTATTTAAAATGTGAAAATCTTTTAACTATTTGGAATTTAGACAATTCAAAGATGTTATCAAAATCGTGTGGAAACTAATGACGATTTTGGTATATACATTCTTTGAAATTTGAGTTCCCCGCCGGCCGAAAATCTTCAACCACATGGTTTCTTTTAATATAACTTTGCATATATTTTCCACCGGCTTTTTAATTCATTGATTCTTTTAGATTTTCATACCAAAAATGCAGTAAAAGGTACTGAAAATCAGTCAACTTTTTAAATAATGCTCAAAATATAACTAAAAAAAGCTAGGCTTTCTTGTGCTATGTACAACAAGAATAGGCAACATACCTCAGTAGAAGTGAAATTCGTGTCCCTGAAATTTGCAGCCCGATATTTCATGAATGTTTCTCATCAAATGTTGTTCAAGTTCAAGTTTGTTTATTGAGGCAAGAAAGAACTACAAAGCTACTAAGCTTAGTAACCTAAGTTACTCTATCCTCAAAGGGATAGAGTAGCTTAGGCTATTTCTACCCTCCTGCATCAAATGTTATTAACTCTGTCCTCGCTCACACATGGCCTCAAGGCTCAAGTTGGTATCTTCCCTGTGCCTGCAGTTATTACAATTTATAATTCTTGCCCAAACTTTAAGTACCAAACATAAGCCTAACCTTACTTTTGCTTGTTAACAGTGTCTGCGCGCGCGCGCGCGCGTGTGTGCGTGTGTGTGTGTGTGTGTGTGTGTGTGTGTGTGTGTGTGTGTGTGTGTGTGTGTGTGTGTGTGTGTGTGTGTGTGTGTGTGTGTGTGTGTACTCACCTAATTGTGCTTGCGGGGGTTGAGCTTCGGCTGTTTGGTCCCGCCTCTCAACCTCGTGTGTAAGAGAAAGTGTGTGTGTGTGTGTGTGTGACACAGAGAGTGTGAGTGTGTTAGTGTTCGTTAATTAGTTAAACCACTGCACACGTACTGAGGTTCAGCGTCCATCTTCACCCTAAGCTCAGTCATGGTTGCCACCTCTCACACCCTGACCTTATGTCCGATACAGCATTATCTGGTCGTTAATGCTTGTTGGCCTGCAGACAGCCAGGTGGGGCATATCAAGTGCTGGTGCCAGTCATAGATGGAGGGAGGTGTGTGTGTGTTAAAATTACACAGGGAGGGTGGCGGTATGAGATTATCCGTTACGCAGTGCTGTATGAATGTCGCATTTATACAGTGGTACTTGGTTATTAGTCATGACACATACAGCCCCGTTCCTGTGCCAGGTAAGTCCACTACGGGTTCACCATAGCCCGTGCTACTTGGAACTTTTTGTTCCCAGTAGCTGAATCTAAAACAACATGGATATTAGTTACGCAAAGAAATGTCCGAGTGTCGCGGTTACAATGTGTACAGTAGTTGTTCTGGTTAGAGTGGTGTGTAGTTGTTCTAGCTAGGGGTATGTGGCTGCTATACAGTGGAGAGTGGCTTGGTGTTTTAGTTACAGTGTAGCGGGATATTTGATTGTGGTTGTTCTAGCATCAGCGATGTGTGGTATGGTGGTTCTAGCTGCATTTGGGCGTGGTTCCATCAACAATGAGAGAGAGAAAGAGAGAGATGGGGGAGGGGGGCAAGTAAGCAAGCAAGCAAGCAAGCAAGCAAGCAAGCAAGCAAGCAAGCAGGCGAGCAAGCGAGCGAGCGCCTACTGGGCTACTGGGTAGCCTTCCTCTGTGACTCATACCCCCAACTTTTCGTTCACCTGCCAAAATTGCTTCAAAAGTGTCCCTCTGAGTGCCCTCTTTCCCAGCCTCCCACCGCTCCCAAGGCCTGCTTGTTTACCCTCCACAGCCTCTGCCACCCCCATTATATCCGCACTTTCAGATCACGTTCTCCTTCCCTATTCTGCAACACACGCTTGTACTCGCTGTTGGTGTGCTTGACTACCTGAAGGAGTAGAGTTGCATCCCCCCATTCTATGTAAATATCTTCTATGTGTTGACTTGGGGGTAATCAACGATTTGCTATTTGTTTTCAATGTTCACTTGAGTGTTTTCCCACAATGGGAATATTTAGCTAGTGAGGCTCTTGAGCTATTTCTGTTTTGTTGAATGTTCAGGCATTTTGTTGTTTACTCTTGCAGTCTCCTTCCATAATTTAACTTAACCTACAGGCAGTTTGGAAACTAACTCTGAAATTGTTGTTTTCCAATTTTCAGGTGTACATGTTTATTACTAAATTTGTGCTAGTGTTTATTAAGTTTCTCTCGGACCCGGAACACTTTGGGAGAAAGTTATTCATTCCGGCAATGTAAGAGCATTTGTTTACCTGTGTTGTCATGTATTACTCACACACCTGTTAGTCTCTCAGGCCCAGGACATGAATGAAACATCATCGCTGAGTTTAACAATTCTACCTTCGTCTCTCCCGAGCCATAAACCCCCTTACCCCTCCACCACTCGGCCCTGCCCTGTCATATGCCTCTTGCTTGTCCAAAACCTAGTCATGATTTGTATCACAAATGGGCTATTCATGCTGTCCCACCGTATTTTTTAGAATGATTTATGAGCGGTGTCTCATCATATTGTTCATCATGGTTTATATCCGTGGTTTTCTCATTGTATTGTTCAACACGGTTTGTCTTATTTATCCCATTGTATGGTTCAGCTTGGTTTGACTAATGTGTCCCATCGTATTGTTCAGCATGGTCTTTGGTGTCCCATCATATTGTTCAGCATGGTCTTTGGTGTCCCATCGTATTGTTCAGCATGGTCTTTGGTGTTCCTTCATATTGTTCAGCATGGTCTTTGGTGTCCCTTCATATTGTTCAGCATGGTCTTTGGTGTCCCATCATATTGTTCAGCATGGTCTTTGGTGTCCCTTCATATTGTTCAGCATGATTTATAACATTATTATACAAGTACACAGCAGATCAGGGTCAAATACAGGAACTATAATAACTAATATAAGTTATAATTCATGTATAATAATATAGCTATTATACAGGTTACAATCGACCTTGATCTGCTGTGTTGCTGGTTCTTGAATGAAACTCGCGTGCTAAAATAAGGATATTTGACGTGTGCATCGATCAGGGAGTGTCACCGGGACTGGTCTTCACTCTTGATTCCTCCAGGCTGTAACACTGACGTACAGTATTTAGTTTTGAAGTAATGTTGAAGAATATTTGTCGAATGTCATTTGCTGCACATACCTTGCTATACAGTGTGTTCCTATTTATTTTAAGTCACTCGCCTGGGACCATCAGGGTAGTGACACTGACTAGTTAGTGTTTTATAATGCTGTCATGGATGCTCCTGTAGTTTAATTGATGTATTGCTTCTAACTGCAGATGCTGACAAAATCTTTGTGGTGTGTGCATCCGCAAGTTTGGATTTGTGTAGTTCTTGTAGTGCTTTTCTCTTGGTTAAATTTTAGGGTTGTGATTTTTAGCTATTACCTTTCTTATTTCACTTTAGTTTAAAACTATTTTGTGTTATTTCGTTTATTCTTTTATAAAGTGCAAAATGATATTAAAGTGGGTTTAACTTCTTGTAGTAAGCTTAAAAATATAATTTTCATCTCTTGTAGAATTCAAGCATTTTATTCAGTTTCTTGGGGATACAAATTGTTAAATAGGACTTAGGACTGATGAGCACCATGCCCACAGCTGGATGACTTGAGTTCGGACAGTGACGACGAATACTTCGATGTTGTGGCAGTGCCGGGCCTGCGGCCTCATCTGCTGGCCGCCCAAAGCCCCCCTGCCCAGTCACCCACCCCACATCATCAGTTGCAGCAACCAGTGCAACATCCTCACATACCACCCACACACAGCCGAAGTTTACCAGCAGTAAACAAAGGCAATGTAGTCCATAGAATGGGAACTACCCCAGTCCAGCCAGTAGATACAGTGGTGGTAAACAAGCCGTCCGAAACTATTGCAGCTGCGAGTAACCCATTGTCTGCACTGCCTAAGGCCTTGACGCCGACAAGTCCTGTCGATGCAAATTTAATAAATAGTTCGGTACAGCAAGCTGTATTGACAGCTCAGACTGCAGGAAGCTCTGAGAAGGGTTCTGCAGTATATAGGCCTAGTAAAGTAGACGACAGTACTATGAAAGGAGATTCACCAAATTCTCCCAAGAATTACCAGGCACCTCAACTTCCGTCTATTACAGAGCAATTAGAAAATACAAAACAGGCAAGCTTATCTGATAAACAAGGTAGTTCTCACTTTAACAAGATGCACTCTGTAACGGCAGATATGCAGAGACAAATTGTATCTAATAAACAGGGGAAAACACTCATAGGAAAGCAAGACGCTTCCTTACTAGACAGAAAACCGCCAGACAAATTAGAATCAAGTAAAGACTTAGCAGTCAACCTTACATCAAATGAAAGTACGCAGCAAGAGAAAAAGGAAAGTGGCTCAGAAACTCGCCAGACAACAGCCTCATCACCGCATCGCCCACAGAATAGGCATATTTTGAGTACAACAAATAAAACTGCATCAAAGCCAATGCAACAGCCTATCGCTGATAAGACGTTATTTTTATCAGCTGTGGCTAACAAAATACGAGCAGGAAGTCCTGTCCCAGAAAAGACTGCAGTTATAGGGATGAAACTATCCCCAGCTGTGCTGACTGGGAAATTGGAAATTGCATCTAGTGATGGCTCAACAATTGTAAGAAAAAATTCCACCCTCAATAATAAGGCAGCAATCGATGCCAAAGTAAATAGTTCCAGCGAAATTTTAGAACCAGAGGACAGCATAACGTTAAATAATAAATTAGCCGTTGAAAGTAATCTGGTAAGAAAATCTGTCATCGTAGGCGATGAAATCAATGGATCCACGTTAAAGGAAAATGAGAATAAACTAACCAATAAGTTAATAACAACTAGCAAAACTAATAAGGCTAATGCGAAAAGTGACAACACTGACGCTGAACTCCACCGAGAGTGTGTTTCTGTAAGTAAGGAGAAAGAGAACGCTGTCAACCCAATTCAGATTGGAAATACTAGTAATAAAGAAAACCCAAGAGAGACTGAAGCATATATTGAGAGAAGCAGTAGGTGCAGCTCCGTGGCCAGTAACGCCTCACGGGCGGTCTCCCCTGACGGCTCCCTCAGATCTGGAGCCAAGCGCAGTAGAAGTGGAAAGTTGGCCTCCGTACTCAATATGTGGGAATCTGATGAAATTTCTCAAAAAAGTGAAAAGGGGAAATCCAAACCTACTTCAACCGCTAAAATTGGTAAGATCACGGGACTTGCAAGTGTGTTTGAAGGCGAGAAAAGTGCGGGAACATCCAGTACTTCAAAAAATATAATAACCAAATTGAAATCTCCATACAGTCCGCCTTTTTCACCAGAAAGAAAGCCGGCAGAAGAAAAAATTACGAATATTGCTGGTATAAGTACAGCTAAATTTGGCAATGTTTCAAAGTTTAAAAAGCCAGGTGAGCCTAAGATGAAATCAGATGCAAAGAATGAAGCATCCAACGCTGACAAGAAAAAGGTAATTAATATGAACACGGTAAAAGATTCGGACATTGGTCAAGAAAATGGTATTATGAAAAAGAAAGGTGACGAAAAAGCAGATTTAAATAATGCGACAGTTATTAATTCTGCGGGTAAAGGATGTGAAGATAAAATTACCAATGGAGATGTATCGTTGACTGACAGTAGTATATCACTTGAAGATGAAGGAAAAGATAAGATAATTAAGAAAAAGAAAGTTAAAATTAGCACATCATCAAGCGACCTGGCGAGTAAGTCAGTGACAGATACAAATACCGACGCTAAGTTACTGGAAAGCAGTGCAACTCAAGCCAACTCCGTCATTGTTAAGAACACTGAACTGAAGGCTGTCAAAATTGAAGCTGCTGAATCAAACATCAAATTTAAAGCTACTGAATCTAAGAACATCTACACAGATGGTAGTGAATCTAAGGACACCAGAGCCAAAATTAGTGAATCTATGGACACCAAAGCCAAAATTAGTAAATCTAAGGACACCAAAGCTGAAGTTAGTGAATTTAAGGACACCAAAGCTGAAGTTAGGGAATCTAAGGACATCAAAGCTAAAATTAATGAATCTAAGGACATCAAAGCTAAAATTAATGAATCTAAGGACACCAAATCTAAAGCTAATGAATCTAAGGACACCACAGCTAAAACTAGTGAATCTAAGGACACCAAATCTAAAACTAATGAATCTAAGGACATCAAAGCTAAAACTAATGAATCCAAGGACACCAAATCTAAAACTAATGAATCCAAGGACATCAAAGCTAAAACCAGTGAATCTATGGACACCAAAGCTGAAGTTAGTGAATCTAAGGACACCAAATCTAAAACTAATGAATCCAAGGACATCAAAGCTAAAACTAGTGAATCTATGGACACCAAAGCTGAAGTTAGTGAATCTAAGGACACCAAAGCTGATATCAGCAAATCTAAGGACATCAAAGCTAAAACTAGTGAATTTAAGGACATCAGAGCTGAAAATATGGAATCTAGTGTCAAGAAAGTGGATAATAAGTCTCAACAAATTAAAGTCAAAATGGATGCAGCAACTAATTTAGACACAAAGGTTACAGCATCTGATCCCCAAATAACATCTGCTGAAGTTGCTGATGCTCGGGAGACCAGTGTCAGTTTAGCGACAACTAATATGGTCACTGGTATTAAAAGTGCCGAGATTTCAAATACTCCATCTGCAAATGGTATTGAAGCTACTCAGATTAATGTAAGTAGAAATTTTGCCAGTGGTACTCAGGTAATTAAAGCAGAATCAACCAGGTATCAACCAGAATCTACAAGTTCTACAGCAGACACAAAAATGTATACTGATAATGTATGTAACACTGAGACTAAGGTGGATGCCAAAACCACAAATGCTGAATGCATAGATTTAAAGACGATTACCGTTTTATCAAACGATGATCATTTAAAATGCAATGTCTCCCTTTCCAATTCCTCGGTTTTAAATGCTCATATTGCTACTGATACAGGTGCCACAGGAAAGGAAAGTGAAGCTCTTAAAACTCCAGAATCTGTTCCTAAAATGGAAGGACCAAAGAAAGATGTATTTGGAAGTATAAAATCTTTCATAGAATCAGTTGCAAAGGGTGGTAAAACTCTCGAGGACAAGCTTTCTATTAATGGTCTGCAGTTTAGCAAGAAATCCCTAAACATGGAAAGTATAAAGGATATGAATCTCAATCATGAGAGTTTAAACCATAAAACTGGCATATCTTCAGAAAACAGTGAGCAATTTGAAAGACAATCATCCCCTGCCATGTCACTATCAAAAACAATAGAACTAAATGCAGCTACTCAAGACAATTCTCAGAAAACCATTGATGGAAAACAAAGTTTGAAAGAAGCTATCCATAAAACAGCTAAAGCACTACCTCAACTTGAATCAGAAGTAGATGCTCTGATCAGAGAAGCATCAGTGCTCATTGCACAAAATGAAGTGATTACCAAATCAATCACGTCAGGAATTTCAGAGACATCAATAACACAGGACGAAAAACGGTCCAAGATTAAAAAGTCGTGCTCGACGAGTGTGGGCGAAGAGGGAGAAGAAGAAGTTTATGTTGATGCAATAGATCCATCTCAACTGGATACTCTGATGCCTCTTCCGGATGTGGAAATTGAAAGAGATTGGCGTTCACGCTCACGCACCCCGCTGGAAGGTCCTGAACGGTCTCCTTCAACTCGTTCAGTTGTGGCAAAAACTGAGGCTCTTCTCTCTGAAACTGACAGAATTCTTCGCAGGTCCCGCTCTGACAAGTCTCTCAGAAGATCTTACAGCCGCTCAATATCAGCAGCAGCACTTAATAAAGTAGGTCTTCTTTGAACAAATGTGGCCCTTGTGATTCAACTGTCATAAAAAGTTGTAGATTATCTTCCATTCCTTTACATGTCGTATTTAACATGAATGTTAACCCCTATATGTTTTCTAGTCTTAAATTGGTTAATTTTAACATATACGTTTTGGCAAATCAATGAACTGACTTTTATCTTCTGTCCATAGATACTTTGGTTTAGTTTAAAATAAGGTTGTGATGTGTGTGCAGTACATTTTTGTTTTTGTCCCTTACAGTCAGCCCAATTGGTCTTAGAGGCTAAATGTGAACTTCAGGCATATGGAGTTATATGCAGTGTAAGTGGGTATATAAATGTTAAATGCATTTGAGAAGCAGTATGAAGGTTTTGTAATTATGTTTTAACCCATTAAGGTTTTGCACCATGTATTTTATATATTCAGTATATAAAATACAGTATTACATTATATATACTGTATATATACATTTATGTATATATATACTGTATATATACATAAATGTATATATACATTTATGTATATATACAGTATATATGTATATATATATATATATATATATATATACTGTATATATATATATATATATATATATATATATATATATATATATATATATATATATATATATATATATATATATATATATATATACATACATACATACATACTGTATACTGTATGTACTGTATGTACAGTATTTGAGGCTGTCATTAAATTTACTGCTGGCTTTATGTATACATTAATAATAATACAGTACCTTGGTCTCATATCCATTTTTGTATTTGGTTTATATGTTTATTTTGTGATTGCTTACATTATTTTTTTGATCTATTACTGGAACTTAGTTAATTTATTTAATTAAGCTTTACCTAATTCCAAAAGTATTCACCAATCTTTTTACTGTTACTACCAAATAATTAATAGCAGGTTATGACTGAATTTACAAGTTTACCAAATACTGTATCATAATATATTAATGTACAGTATTAACAAATTAATTGTTTCTAAATAACTACTGTATAATGTACAGTAATGAAATTATATACCATACTGAAAGCATTTGATTTTGTAGCTTAAATAATTCATTCATAACAGTATCATGAGTTTCTTCAAGTGGTAATGAAACTTTTACTAAAGTATTTGAATTCAGGCAAATTTCTTGCATATTGAATAAGAAAATGATAGTTGGCTGGTTTATAAAGTCTAGTTTTAAACAAAATTTGAATAATCATCCCAAGCTATTATTAATGTCTAAAACTTTTGTTTTTAATTCAGACCATAAATGAACCTTTGAAGAGAACTTAGAGGTACAGTATAATAAAAAAAATAATGTACTATACTCCCCAAACTCGTATAGTGTTAGGATGGATGCGTTAGTTTTTAATTCATTAAACCTTAAACCTTGAGGTTATAACTTAATAATTTATTCTGATTATAACATTGTTAAATAGCTGGCAGAAGTGACGGCTGATCTGTCAGAAGAACACGGCACAGCACATCTAGCAGGGGAGAGGCTGGAAGCTGAACAAGCAGAGAGGATGAAGCTAGAGAAAGAGGTTGAGAGATTACAGGTATGTAATTGTAATATTGTAAGCGACTTCAGTGTAGCTTGATTTTAATGATGAGATGTAAACTGAAATACTGTAATTATAAAAATGAAGGACACGGTGATTATTGTGGCTTTAAGGAAAGAGAGAAGAAGAGCCATTGGCTTCTGCACTCAAAGGTGACATGATGCTGATGCTTGAGCTAGATATGGCTATCATGGTGTTTGATTTCTGGGATTACAAGTAGTGTAACCCTAATCTGGAAGAGTTTTTTGGGAAAGCTTGCATGATTGAATGCAGATTGGAATAAGAAAATAAGAAAGCGTGATGTCCTTAACACTTTTGAGCCAAATTTTAAGGTATGATAATCATAATTACGGTATGTAATATATCTGAGATTGAGATTGTGGTACCAAACAGTGCCTTCCAAACTCTATGCACATACAGGTTCAATATTTTCTCATCAATATAGTCATTGGTATTGTAAGAATACATTATCATCATTGCCGTCACCCAGTTTTATCACATTATTGAGTGGGGGAGGCATCGTTCTGGAGAAAAGAATAAAGACAATATCCTTCCACCTTATAAACATACAATACTACAGTACAGTACTGTAAATATATGATCTTGTAGTGAAATACAGGGATTTAATCAAATTAATTAGTCAGTTATTAATGATAAAAATAGGTACAGTAATGATAAAATTAATGTAATATTTAAAAGAAATAACAAAGCCAGATAACAAATAAACACTGGAGGCAAATTTTGAATGAATGTTGATAAATTAATGGAGATGGAACTTTTGCTATGAATCATGTTGGTTTACAAAATGACCACAATATTTATTAATTATTTCTATAGTATGCAGTGCTATATATGTTTGGAATTAATTTCTATGCTTGACATTCTATTCAGTACTGTGTTGGGACAATAGAAATACTGTAGCAGTTATATGTTTGATGTTTCTAAATAAATTATCTAAGTTTTACTCTTGAGTTGCATGTGAGGCTTTATAGACTATTGCTTCATCCTGTTTACAGTTCAAGATTGGGTAAAATTGGTTGAAATAAATTGTATGTTATTGAAATTTTAGACTAAAATTATTAATTGGTACTGTATGACTGATAATATGTTTACAGTACTGTACTGCAAAAAACAGTTTCTTACACTTTCACAGTACTTTGTGTTTTGATCTGATATGATCTGATCTGCTTCTGCAAAGTTTATTTCATAAGTTTTGAAAGACTACTAGTGTCATTGAACGATTTTTAGGGAATTTTAAAATGTATGTTAATGTTCTTTTTTTTTTTTTACCACTACAGACAGATATGAGGCTCATGACAACAGCCAATGGGAAGCTGGAGATGGAGAAACAAGCTCTTCGATCTGAAGTTCTCTCAGTGGCTGACTTTAATGGTGACGCTGACCATGATTATGATGAGGCTGCTGAAGCTTCTCTGTACAAGCGCAAGTATGAGTGGTGTCTTAGAGAAATAGAGCTCCTGAAGAAGCAGCTTAAGCAGCAACAAGAGGATGATCTAGACCACTTACTCCTTATGAAAAAGCAGCTAGAGAAAAAGGTTTGTTAATTATTATTGTCAAGACAACATTACGAAAATTATGCAAGCCTTCATATTACAGTGTGTTTATATTTTTATCTTGGTTACTTTATGCATTATTAGTTAAGTTATTCCATAACATGTGGCATTAATCTTTCAGGTATCAGATGCATACGAGGAGACAGAGGAGCAACGACAAGTTGTAGCTCAGATGAAGCGTAAATCCCAGCGATTACAAGCAGAGTTGAATGACCTTAAGATGCTGCTTGAAGAACAAGCCTCTCGAAACAACCTCCTTGAAAAGAAACAAAGAAAGTAAGCTTAATAAAAAACCCAAGAGAGTTTATGCTAATTGTCTATAAAGGTTTATTCAGTCAGTATGAATGCACAGTAAAATGATCAATTTACAAAATTGATCATTTTACCTCTCGCTGAAAATATATATTTACTTTTATATTGTCATTAAATACCACAATGTGTTTCATCATACTGTATTTGTTGCAGTAAAAAGGTAAATTTAATCACAACTACAGTAATTACAATGATTTGCTGCTGCCCCTGGACCATAGATATTACACTGTATATCTTATTATAGGTTTTTACGAGTAGCATTATTATAGAAAAGTGAATGGTTAAAACAAAGTATGAAAATTACTGTATATAAATATGGAGCTTATAATAAGAAAATGCAGAAAATATAAAATTATTCTCAAAAGGCTTTTCAATATTTTCACCAGCCTCACCAGGCTAGTACTCTGAAAGTTGTGATGATTTCCACCATTTTGGGCTAAATTAGCAATTGGCTTTGTTAGATTCCTGACATCTCTTACCTGTTTGACTGGAATCAAGTATTGACGGTATGGGGCTATTTTGGCTTTATCCTTGGTGGGCTATTATCCCAGTTAAGTTCCTCTCATCTCTGCTGTTGTGTAATACCAGGGTAGCTTATTTTCTTCATGGCATTCACAACACCCTCTCTGCTCTTCATTGTTGCCTATATTGGGGGAACTCTGACTTTTGCATCTGGTGCTTGAGAGCAATCTTGTTTGATCTTTAACTGTTGGATGTATCCCTTGGGGTGCATTTGTTTGGAAATTTTCTGGCTTCAATCTTTGGAAGACTTCTTTCTGTGTACCTGAAGCTTTTCCTTGATACCTCCAGCATGGGCTGGGGCTTTATCTCCAGCTTTTCACTGCACCAGTTTGGGGGTGTTCTTTCCATAGCTGTTGCCCCTACAGTTTTTGCCATTCTCTGTCAGTGGATGGGCCTCGAGTGTTTGTACCTCAGCTTTTCAGTCTGGGGATAGGCATGTGTTGGTTCCATCTTTTTGAAGGCCATATGCTTTACTACTACTATTTTTTTCCATTTTTATATTTTTTGAATGGCAATTGTCTTCATTCTCATAGATGGTTATTGCCTGAAGCAGATTTCAACCCTAGATTTCTCCTTGTTCCTGTCATTCTCCAGGATACTTCTTATTTCAGACCATTGCATTGGAATTTGCTCTTCTCTTCTCTTCTCTTAGTATTTCAGATTCTGTTTCTACCTTCATGTATGAATCCTTTTCAGTGAGTTTCTAATTTATATGTTCCTCAGCTTTCTGAGACTCTGCCACATATCAGTTGTGATGCTAGTGCTTATTACAGTGATTTATTGCTTTGGAAAGGATGTCTCCTTTTTCTTGGACTGGTTGGTTCAGACTCAGTTTGTGCCTCCTGTTCTTCCTATTGGCAGGCATTATAAAAAGGCATTAATGTTGCCTTTTTGTTTTGATCTCGGCTTTAGATCTTCTAATTCTATTACCTATGTGCAATTTTCTCTTGGCATGCATCTCCCACCTCTCAACAAAGAATGATGACATCCTTTTATATCCTTTCTTCTTGACTTTTTTGTTAGGAGACTCGTAAATAGGGTTTCTGGTCTCTATTTTAACACATGGCAGAATGATGTCTTTCCTTATTCTCTTGCTTGATCCTCCAATGTGTAACCTAAACAGCCTATCTTGTTTTACCTCTCCCATGGTGGTGCTTTGCTGGTAGCCCTGCCTTCTGATTAATCTATACTGGATGACTTTCTCTACAGTTGTAGATGCCTATGTTAGGGAACAACTAAATTAGATACTGTAGCTCAAAAATATGCTTTCAAGCCAATATGAAAAGCACTTCTTGATGCAGACTCATTTGGTTCCTCCCCAGTTCCTTTCTTCATGTCTTGCCTACTCTGCATTGAGTCAGTTGTTTGCATCTGGAGATAAGGGAGGGGTTGGTTCAGATGAAATAACCTGAAGTTGTATGAGGTACTGCTACCTGATGGCAGTCAGCAATGCAGTTGACCAAGCAAGGCAATTGGTAATTAGGAAGCTCACTCTCTTGGCAATTAGCTGATATGTTAATGGAGGGTTTGGAAGGGCTTTGGGTTTTATGAATGATTATTCATAATAACTCTGTTGGTTATTCTGGGTTGGGTTGAGCTTTTCTTCAGTGACTCCTTAGCACCTTAACTAACCCTGCAGCAACATTTGAAAAATGAGTTCCTGCTTCTCTTTGTATAATCCTAGTCATATGATAAAGCAAATCCCTACCCTAGGGAGCAACTGAATGAAAAAGGTGCTTTTCATATTGACTCAAAACTATTTTATAATAGTTTACTTAATTTTGTTTCCATTTTTAGCACTGCATTTTGGATGCAGCTCCTCTTAGCCCTGCATGACACCGCTCAGCTGGAGCTTTTATATTTTTTGTTGTTGTACGGTAATTCTTGACCAGAATAGAACCAGATCCCTAGCTTTATGTTAATGGCAGCTACTTCCAATGGCAGTTCTAATGTGCATTAGATAAAACAGGGTATGGAGTAGTGGCATACTGTAGTTGTAAAGCATAAATAATCAGATAATGATAGCAATTCATGTTATATATTCACTACAGTAGTCTAATATACATAAAAATCATTAGCACTTTAATACTTAAATTGTGATTTCCTAATATTTCTCCAAAAGTAGCAGTACCAAAATATTTAAATGTATTAGACCGAATTTTCTTTGGGCAATTACCTATCAAGCAATTGCCTGCCTGCCTTCCTGCCTACCTACCTACCTACATGTGTAACAACTTTTACCTAGATTCTTCAGTAGATATGTATGCTTCAGCTATCTTATGAAGGATTTATTTCATTATTGGAAAATATATTTTTGACTAGGTTTGACCAAGATATGATGGGAGCGCAAGAAGAACTGCGACATGAGCGTGCCAACAAAGAGAAAATTCAGAGGGAGCGTGATCAGATCCTTTCTGAGAAATACTCCTTTGAGCAAGAAGTATCTGTAAGTACAATGCACCTTTATTCTTCAGCTCGTTTATATTTTTGTATTACACTTTTGTTCCATAAAAACATTGTAAATTTGTCTGTAGCATATTTTTAAGACAAAGTTATTTACAATATTGTTGTGATTCATATACAGTGTATAAAATACATATACAGGTACTGTGCTGTGTGTTACTTCATCAACTGGTAAGTTTTATACTCACTTCTGGACTCCTTAACCACTGCACTGCGCAAAGCGCCTTTAGGCGCTCAGAGTTGTGCTTTTTGTTTTTTAATTTGGCTATATTTTAATGTTTTTTAATGTTTTCATTACTATTTGTGTTTTGAAATGGAAATAGTTGACTTTGGAAACATTTTGACATTTAATTTACCTGAACATTTGTAAAAATAACAAAAATATGTCCTTGAGAATTGCACCAAGACGTTTTTGCCGAAAATAGGTGAGCAGTGCAAGGGTTAAGAGAGATGAGATAGTCATAGGGTTCAACTCCCCCCCCCCCCCCCAATGGAATTTGGGCTTCATGTTTACTTTTTAAATTGTCCTCCTGCTTTCTTGAGTATTAACATAGGCAAGGAGTTCCTACCTCATTGCTTTCTTCATACTAACTCTTTTAGTTTATAAAACTTTAAAATCATTGTCTTCATCTTCCAAAATAGAGATCACATATGACTTGGCCAAAATTTTATGTCAGGCATTCCTTAAGACAGTTGTTTACATAAGATCCTCAGCTGTTGCAACATGCCATATACAGTAGGCATGTTGGCGATTGGTGAATGATTTATTGAACACTCATTCTATAACCACAAATTGTTACCGAATGTTCTAATACAATTTTCCTGGTAGAAAAATTGGATAGATCAGGGAAGTGGAATTTACAGGAATGTATTCACCAAAAATAATACTCTTTACCAGTTTAGAAAGTGGTAGATGTGTTGAGCTGTCGTCTAGTAACATCATTTTGCTATTTTATGATACCTGTAGCCCAGTTTTCTAAGTGCTCTCTAAAATAGGATTCTTTCATGTAATAATTTGCACTTATGTGAGCCAGCTGTGTTAGTACAAGACACTAATCCTCTTTATTCTTTATGCTTCAATTTATATAATTTCCATCACTATGATCCATATTAATATCTGGAAACCTGCTACCAATACCAACAAGTCTCATCTGCATTATATGTTTGCTTGGGAAACAAATTGTCTTCTTTCAAATTAGTGACTGTCTACATCATGTTGGCTGCCTCAGTGCCAGCAGGATATCTCCCTCTCCATTGATCAACACTCATTTGGCACCATGGCACAATTTAAATTGCTTCAGTACTGTATATGAACACTTTTTACTAATGTTTATTTGAGCAAGGAATTCTTTGGCTTTCTCCATGAGCATGCAGCCTAGAATAGTACTGTAGCTCCATCACTCCATTTTTTGTTTACTGCTCATGTGTAGAATTATCCACACGCCTTATTTAAGCATACTTTGTGGTTACCTTGCAATGATTTCGGGGCTTAGCATTCCCATGGCCCGGTCCTCGACTAGGCCTCCTCATTGCGGGACTGATCAACCACGCTGTTGGATGAGGCTGCTCGCAGCCTGACGTATGAATCACAGCCTGGTTGATCAGATATCCTTTGGAAGTGGTAACTTTATCCAGTTCTCTCTTGAATACTGCCAGGGGTTGGTAATTATGCATACTGATAATTTTCAGATTTCACAATCGTGCTTTCTCCTGATAATTATCTGATCTTACTCTTGCAAACATTAGACTAGAATTGCATTACCTAAGTTGTACGTGATGCAAATAAGGGAGGGTATCCTGATTTTCAATTTCTTTAATAATCCCTGTATTCTGCTCAATTCTCAGTAATGCATTTTTTCCATCAAATTAAATGGATGGTCCAAAGATTTGCATTAATCCAGGATGGAGATTAAACTGCAGTTGAATGTGTGCACAAAACCTCAACAAAGCTAGGTCACATCGACAGGTGCAGTGGCACCTCTAGTGAGGTACTTGGGAACATAAAAATAACTCCACATGGTTTGCTAACATGTTTGTCACCTAGCTGGTATTTTGTCAGTGTTTTTGCCAGAATCATCATCTGACTCAACAGTTAGGTGACGTACAGAGGTACTGTTAGGGACTGTACTCCTGCACTCTTTAGCAACCATAGGGACATCACACAACTCTCTCATACTTATACAGTATATTAAAATCAAGAAACCCACTCTGTTGACTTTATTGTGTACTTTCTCCTAAGTCCATATACACCTTACCATCCTTCTCACATACATTTTCCAAAACCAGTCTTAGAGCAAATATGTGAGTCACATAATCTTATCCTTTACAGGACCCATCTTCACCAATTTCTTGGTTATTTTTTATAATTATAATCACTATTTTTCCCTTACACCTTGCCCACTACACTTACAGTACAATACTAGACAAATGCTTCTATAATTCATAAACTAACCACATTCATCCTTATTTTTATAATGAGGCACAATCACAGCCCATAAAATATTACAAAATAAAATTGACTGAGACAATACAGTAACATTATATTTTCATAAGAAGCTTGCAGTTCTGTACAGAGGTGAAAAGGTCCATATAACTGTTCATGGTGTACTGTATATCCCCAAAGAAAGGAGGCTTTGGCTTCCTCACATTTTGTCCCTAATAGACAACAAAACAGAGGTCATCTCCAAAGCACATTTAAGACTGAAAATTAACCATAGGGAGAACTAAATACAGTACTGAGAAATTATAGGAGAGACGACACCTGCAGTCTAGTGTTACAACAGAAGAGATCGGAAAGATCCTCAAGTGAGGATCCACTGGAGAATAGCGAGAATGCAGGTAAAGAGATAAATGCTTAGGAAGAAATCTGCGCTAATCATTGTTTAAGCACTTTGATGTAAGTACACAGCAACACCAAGAAACCAACATCCCCTAAACGGTGGGACAGTGGCTGTAGACAAAGCCCCATCCCTCCCTGAAATCTCGAGGGGAAACTCTCCAACGATGATGGTGATGACCACCAAGGAACTTATCCTGAAAAATGCTGAAGAAGAATCTGACAAAACATGAGATTCCTAAGACTGTAATGGGCTGCCAACCAGAAAAACTGATACAGCACCAACCTAGGAAATGAACATTGTATTCAGAGTTCAGGTTGACCAAATGTTCAAGATCTCGCAGGAATAGCATATATTTCCCAATGATTAAATGAAGTTGGGGAAACAAGCTGACATAATGTTGTCTCTAGAAGGGTGAGAGATGCAGTTCTGGTGTCACGAACCAAACCTAACAATTGCAGGTACAGTTCACTGTATGAGGTGGTACTGTACTTTAATCCATTGATCACGAAACTTAAGTAGTCCAACACTTGTGATATTGAGTTCTCATCCAGCCAGCAAGACTTACACATGGAAACCTATCAAACAGTCATTGAAGTAGGCCAGAACAGGCATACCCAAGAGCTGAAGCTCCTGGGGGAACAATGTGAATATGACTGGTGAAAGTCCTGGGAGACGGATTGATCCTAAGGGTAAGATCCAAACAGTATTAGGATGTGCCCAACCCAGAACTCAGAGGGACTGGTTAAGAGGGACACAGTTAAGCCCAGAAATGCTTCCCAAAGGTGTAATGATGAGCCACATTTGCTAAGTGCGAATTTTTCTTGAAGACCAAAACTAAGGATTAGAAGAGAACCTGGACATACAACTTCCAAACCCCTTCCTATGTTGCAAGGATGCATAAAAAAGTAACCAGTTAAGGAAATTAAAAGACTTCCCCAAAACACTGCCCTGAAGAAAGGGAAAAACCTCCTTCCAATCTATGAACACATTTCAAAAGAAAGATTGCTACTTCCCCACCAAAAACAGTGGATTGCCTGGTACTGTACCCAGGTAGTGGAAAAGAAACCGAACTGCAGAAGAGGAGGGATTTGTTTAAGACGTGAGGTTCCTACCCACAACGAAAACTAGTAGTAGTTCCATGAAACTCTTAAGAGGAGTGAGGTAGTACTGTAGGAACCTGTGATGGATTGGAACATCCACAGCCTCTATTGGAACCACGAACCAAATCTGAGGTATAGCCAAGTAGGTATCATACTGAAACTGGAAAGGGGATTAGATCACATTCCCCACCAGGTATGGGCAGCAAACCCCATGAAGGATCAATAGTTATCCATGAAGCCTTCCCAGGAACTAACTGTATTCATCCAGCAGTACCTCAAAGGAAGAAGGGTCAACTATGACCAGAGGAAAAAGCAAGATACTTGCAATCTTCTCTCTGTCATTCCATCCAAGGCAAAGCCCTTTATTTAGCCAATTTCATTTCATAGTACTGTATAAGGAAACAGCTGAGCTTTGTTTCCTTATACCCTCTGATAACTAAATACATGATCTAAGTCAGTTTAAAAACTTTTGTATAATGCAGGAGAAAATATAGTATAATGTTCATTTTTAACCATAGTTTATATATATATATATATATATATATATATATATATATATATATATATATATATATATATATATATATATATATATATATATATATATATGACAATGTCAGACCACGGAGGAAAAATGAAACAGGAAATTTCCTTAAGTACTTTCGTATATTAAATACATCTTCAGAAGGTGTATTCACCTTCTGAAGATGTATTTAATATACGAAAGTACTTAAGGAAATTTCCCGTTTCATTTTTCCTCCGTGGTCTGACATTGTCACATTCTTAATCACGTGTTTATTTTCGTGATATACACACATATATATATATATATATATATATATATATATATGTCGTACCTAGTAGCCAGAACGCACTTCTCAGCCTATTATGCAAGGCCCGATTTGCCTAGTAAGCCTAATTTTCCTGAATTAATATATTTTTTCTATTTTTTTTCTTTATGAAATGATAAAGCTACCCATTTCATTATGTATGAAGTCAATTGCTTTTTATTGGAGTTAAAATTAACGTAGATATAGGACCGAACCTATCCAACCCTACCTAACCTAACCTAACCTATCTTTATAGGTTAGGTTAGGTTAGGCAGCCGAAAAAGTTAGGTTAGGTTAGGTTAGGTAGGTTAGGTAGTCGAAAAAACATTAATTCATGAAAACTTGGCTGATTAGGCAAATTGGGCCTTGCATATATATATATATATATATATATATATATAGACACACACACACACACACACACACACACACACACACACACACACACACACACACACACACACACACACACACACACACACACACACACACACACACACACACACACACACACACACACACACACACACACACACACACACACACACACACACACACACACACACACACACACACACACACACACACACACACACACACACACACACACACACACACACACACACACACACACACACACACACACACACACACACACACACACACACACACACACACACACACACACACACACACACACACACACACACACACACACACACACACACACACACACACACACACACACACACACACACACACACACACACACACACACACACACACACACACACACACACACACACACACACACACACACACACACACACACACACACACACACACACACACACACACACACACACACACACACACACACACACACACACACACACACACACACACACACACACACACACACACACACACACACACACACACACACACACACACACACACACACACACACACACACACACACACACACACACACACACACACACACACACACACACACACACACACACACACACACACACACACAGAGTATTCTTAATTTAAAATATTGTTGCCAAATGGTAATTTTATTTTATATTTTATTTTTGTACAAAAATCTCCATTACATTAGAATAGATTTTTAGCAATTAGATACAGTATTGGGAATTTGTATTGACTGCTGGTGAGTTAGCTTCCCTGACATATTCTATATCCATTATTGATGGTTTCCTGATGGGCATGATGAATGTTCATGACATCCGTTCTGGTGACTTTTGGCCTTGGTAACATCATACAAAATATATATACCTGTATACAGTACTTCATTATTTGTCCTTGTCCTGGATTGTTGATGCACAATTATTGTTCAGCTTCCTGTGATAAGAGATGTAAAGCACAATATTATATAACATTCAGAAAAGAGCAGCAGCATTTGGGAATAATGATGTGGGGTGGGGTTGAGTGTGGTGGCAATAAATGCAGTGATTACGAGTACTGGGCATATATAATTCTAAGTTATGTGGGAGATTTATAGATTTACAGTACAGTAATTGCAAAGCAATAAATATAATATTTTTCTGCGCTACATGTTCACGAGTGCAATTTTTCATGCATTCCAGCATTTTTAGTTTACTTCAAATTTATAAATGGCAGTGCAGGTAACTTATGAGAAAATTGACAGGAAGGAGGAGTTTGGCAAGGTATTCGATAATGCAACAAAACCGTGGGAAAGTGAAGGCGTGTGTGTTGGGATAGGAGAGTAACAAGTTGGTTCCCACGACTAGGATTCCCATGTCATACTGTGCCAGTTTGGTGATGACTGTGCGATAATTTTGTCTTTTGTTAATGTAGTAATCATTCCCCCCGAATCTCTCCATTACATTTCTAATAAAGAGTCTGTGTGGCAGCTGTTTTTTTATGTGTATAATTTAGCATTATGGAAATCATAAATGGGATCAAGTTGCACATATCTAGCTGCTGGTGTTGTGAGGAGGTAATACTGGTATGCTACTGTTGGGGACAGAACGTTTGTAAAGTGTATCAAGGTCCCTCTAGCTATGGGAAAATCTCTGTGGTCACCCATCTAGTCACTGGCCAGACCCAATAATGTTTAACCTGACACAGAGTGACATGCATATAATCCAGTCATGCCAAAGTCAGCAGGTGTGCCATGCCAGTTTGTATTGTGATTTATTTTAGTGTTTACACTCATGTGAACTTTAGATTTTCTGTAATGTTAGCAATTATCTTGGTTCTATTTTTATACCACATAGGAGGGTACAGGAGGAGACGGGTAGAAATAACCTAAGCTACTCTCGTCTTTTGGGATATATTTTACTATTTTTTACCTGAATTTACTTTGTACAGAAGCATATGACTTATGACTTGTTATCAGGCATAAAGCTCTCCCTTTCTACAGCTTATGCCTTACCCTACTAGTTTCCCCAGGAACACAATCCATCATTCAGTTTACAAGCAGGTCCTTCAATTATTGCTGCTCAAATAGGGGGTGAACAGTTTAGGATCTGTGCTCAGTCATTCAGCTCTGCCCAGGTCAATATTGTTTGAGAAGTTTGTTATCCACTAAAACACGGAGCTAATTTGTGATGGTAGCAATTAGGTGAAGCTGAGGCCTATTGTGTGATGTTTGAACTTTAACAGTAGTTATAAACTTTAGTGAAAGAATGTCAACAGTGTTTAGATGTTCAAGTCCTCTTTTGGTTACTGTGAGTGGTAGGGGATGTGTTGCATCAGATGCCACCAACGAGATGAGAAAAACATGCTGTAGTAGTGCAGTATTGAGTATGGCAGGCAGTGAGCATTATGTTGCTGACAGGCTGAGTAATGCCAAATGTGATCACAATATAGCCACTATAAATACACAAAGAAATCACATTAACGTGATGAACAGTATTTTCTCAATGATACATCACGTTAATGTTAATTTGAAGAGAAGGTAGAACTCCTAGACTACAGCCAGAGTGCATGATGGCAATGTGTGAAACCCTGGTTAGGCTTTATGGGAAGCCTCAGGACCCCTAGACCCCTAGAGGATTCAGTTGAATCCCAGATTGCATTGCTTCTGACCATGTCGTGGCGTAGTGGTCTAAGGTGTTTGGTTGAGAATATCCAGATTATAGGTTCAAGTCGTTCTCATTGCTCCTGATTTTTTCATATCCACACTTCTTCGTATAACCAGTGGCAATAATGCAATACTGTATTGAAGTTTTGTGTGACTTCTGCATTCTCATAATGTTTCATGTATTCACCTAGTTGTGCTTGCGGGGGTTGAGCCCTGCTCTTTCAGAGCCCACCTCTTGACTGTCAATCAATCAACTTTTTTTTGTAGCACCCGCGCCCATACACCCACCCACCCACACCCACCCACCCACCCACCCACCCACCCACACCCACCCACCCAAGAAGCAGCCCATAACAGCTGTCTAACTCCCAGGTACCTATTTACTGCTAGGTAACTGGGGCATCAGGGTGAAAGAAACTGCCCATTTGTTTCCGCCATGGCTGGGGATTGATCCCCGGTTCTTAGGATTACGAGTCCAAAGCACTATCCACTCAGCCACAGGCACACGTACGTGTGTGTGTGTGTGTGTGTGTGTGTGTGTGTGTGTGTGTGTGTGTGTGTGTGTGTGTGTGTGCGTGCGTGCTTGTGTGCTTGTGTGGTTGTGTGTGTGCATGCGTGCGTACGTGCGTGCGTGGGTGCACGTGCGAGTTATTACAGTTCTCTTTTTTTTGTGTTTTCTCATTTCTCGTTTTACTTTCCTTCTTACAATGTTGTGTTTGTAGGAATTTATACATGTGTGCACACCTGAGTGTATTGAATAGAATGATCTTAGATAATCTAACAATTAAAGTTACTTTTGAGAGTGGATCTAGCAATTGCTGATTGTGTATTTGTATTGGCAGACATGTAAAAATGTGATGAACATGACTTATTTTGATTTAAAATTGTATTGCCTATTGGGGTTTTGTAGTGGATGTTGGTACAGTTAGGTGGAAAAAAGTGTGATTCTGGTAATGGGTGCACACCACCGAAGGGTATGTAGGTACTCAGTGACTACTGCAGTTGATGTGTGTGAGTGGGGTATGTGTGTTGGTGAAGTGTGAGTTGGGTATAGGGCTGCCAATCATAAGACCTCTCTAATCCAAAGATTTTACTAAAGAACCTTTACAAGTTATGAGATTGAGGTGTTGGTTTAGTGGGTGTAGTGAGTGTGGTGGCGGGTATAGTGAGTGTGGCAGGGTGTTGTGTGAATCAGGTGTCGGTAACACTATACCTTGATGGCATAAGAGCTAAGCCAGGTGAGAAATACATGAAGTGGCCAGGTAGAGATTGCAAACCTTTCTCACCTCTCTTGCTAAATGCTTGCTGTTTATAAACACAGGTTGTGTATGTACTTGAGTACTTGAACCACTAGTGAATAGTAAGTACTTCACTAGTACCTTGCCGGAAAGGGGTAGTTTTACTCGTGTCATTCTCTTGTTGCATATAATATACTCTGGTATCACACTGATATAGCTGACAACTACCATGATATAGTTGACTAGTTTACTCGATATAACTGGTGTCATATAGGACGATTTATTTAATGACACACAAGTAATATCTTGTTGGATGACTAGTGAAATGTAACACCCATCGTCTTCACTACCACCATTTTCACCACCACAAGCATTATCACCCAAATACCGTCACCACCTTCACTACCACCATTAACCATCACCACCACCACCTTCACTACCACCATTAACCATCACCACCACTACAACCATTACCACCACTACAACCATTACCACCCAGACATCACCACTACAACCATTACCACCCAAACACTACCACAACTATAACCATCACCACCCACCACTACAATCACCACCACCACTACAACCATCACCACCCAGACACCACCACCACCACTATAATCACCACCACCAAACAACAATACCCCCACCACCACACCATCACCCAAACACCACCATTAGGAAGTAATGTGGTGGAGGCAGACTCTATACACAGTTTCAAATGTAGATATGATAGAGCCCAGTAGGCTCTAGAGTCTGTACACCAGTTAATTGACAGTCAAGAGATAGGACCAAAGAACTGAGGCTCAATCCCCCGCAAGCACAACTAGGCAAGTACTACATCCATCACCACCCAACCACCACCATCCTACCAGACACTACCACTCTCAATATTAAATGTGCACATATTGGTAAGCGAGATACGTAAGACAGTTACATGGAGGAAATGTAGAATGTGTAATGTATGCTGGGGAGCAACGTTAGATAGTTTCAGTGAGATATGGAAGAGGTAGCAAGACAGTGGCCCAAGGTGAGCGTGGTGGGCTGGAGGAGACGCCGCAGAGCTTGTGTTACCTCCACCAACCTGTCGGGACAGCCTTGGCTCGCTTCGCTCACTAGTTAATTACCACTTCCCCTTCACCACAGTTCATGGTGGTGGAGGGGGGGGGAGGGGAACACATGGGAACATGCCGCCGCCTTAGTTCATGGTGACGGGGGGGGGGGGGGGGGAATAACAGCAAACGGTAACATGCCTCCACCACAATTAATGGGTTAATGGGGAGGGGGAAGGCAACACACAGGAACATGTTGGAGTCTCCACCACAGTTCATGGTAGGGAAGACGGGGGGCGGGGGCGGCAGCACACGGGAACATGTCTCCACCACAGTTCATGGTAGGGGGGGGCAGCACACAGGAACATGTCTCCGCCACAGTTCATGGTAGGGGGGGGGCCAGCACACAGGAACATGTCTCCACCACAGTTCATGGTAGGGGGGGGGGGGCAACACACAGGAACATGTCTCCACCACAGTTCATGGTAGGGGGGGGGGCAACACACAGGAACATGTCTCCGCCACAGTTCATGAAGGTGGGAGGAGGAGGAGCGACAGAACCACAAGAATGCTCTAAATGAATGCTGACATTATACTCCGGATAGACTGTGCGGGAGAGTGAACAAAAACCGCAAATTCGAACCAACTCTGACCCTTAAAAATTGTGTTGATCAGTTATTCGGCCGATGTTGAACCGTGTGTGACAACGAGGGTCACACCTGTTCGTCGGCTGCCAACAGTCGGCGTACAGTTGGCAGGTGGCAAAACACGGAAGTTAATTGCTATTGTTCTCTGTACCAATATTGATCAACATCACAACAATATGACTCCAATTTGAACAAATTTACCGGCTTTGTAACAACAATGCTAGGCTTTTCAACACTATGAGGTTCGTCTTTACAATAATATGGCTCGTGCTCAAAGAAATCACATTAATATGATATATCAATGAGAAAATCAGGAGCAGCTATGAGGATACGAACCCATGCTCTGGGTACTCCC